ATATGCGGTGTCCATCCATCATATCCACTTTTTGGGTCTGTCCACGTCTAAAAAAAAATAAAATCTCTACAAATACAGAGACCTCCCACTCGTGGCAATTATCCCCACAATGAATGTCTATTTGAGTTACATTGCATGTGCAGTAAGTAAAATACGTTTGATGCGGTGATCCCCGGGAAATGTCCGGGAACGCTCAATAGGTGGCACTGACGATCGAAATGAAGGACTGTCCCAGCAATTTCGGGAGGGTTGGCATGTATGACAACCTGCCAGTCTTTGCACATTAGGTCATGTGAAGTCAGCCCGGCACACGCACTGCATTTTGGGGTGAGAGAAGCTCCCCAGGCAGAAATATTGAAGAAGGAGATCCGATGGACCTGTTGGGTAAAGTTGGTGAAGCTTCTTATGTGTTACCAGGCCTGAGCTGTGCTATCAGGAGGGGGGGGGGGGGGGGCAGTTCTAGGACTCCCAGCACACTCATTGTGGCGCAGTCTGTAGTAGTTGCAATGAGCTGCACTTGTTTACCATTCAACCAAATGGCTCTCCAGAGCATCGCACATCTATACGGATACATTGCGGACGTGTCACCATATACAGCAACTCTATCATTTTTTGCAAATACTCTACATGTTGTCATAGTGAGTTCCATCCTCGAGCTCCGGTCAGTGACTTAGCCTAGGCTGAGATGATGTCATAGGTCTGCTGCTGGCAGGAGGAAGCATTTCCTCAGTCTCCCCTCCCCCGGTGCTCAGTCTGCTGCAGGCAGGAGGAAGCATTTCCTCAGTCTCCCCTCCCCCGGTGCTCAGTCTGCTGCAGGCAGGAGGAAGCATTTCCTCAGTCTCCCCTCCCCCGGTGCTCAGTCTGCTGCAGGCAGGAGGAAGCATTTCCTCAGTCTCCCCTCCCCCGGTGCTCAGTCTGCTGCAGGCAGGAGGAAGCATTTCCTCAGTCTCCCCTCCCCCAGTGATCAGTCTGCTACAGGTAGGAGGAAGCATTTCCTCAGTCTCGTCTCCCCCAGTGATCAGTCTTCTGCAGGCAGCAAGAAGCATTTCCTCAGTCTCCCCTCCCCCGGTGATCAGTCTGCTACAGGCAGGAGGAAGCATTTCCTCAGTCTCCTCCAGTGATCAGACTGCAACATTGTAATTTACTCAGGATGCTGTGATTAAAATGAAATATATATCTGATGACAGGTGCACTTATTTATTGAGAGCAAGTTGACGTTCAGACTGATGTTAACCCATTACCTGCCCCGTCAGGATTGCCTAACTGGACGGGGGGAGAGGTCTTCGATATCAATGGAATATGGATTCATCAATGATCGGCGAAGTCCACAGAGCTGATCTGCTGCTGATTTTCCCTCACATTCCTGACGCCGGGAGGAGAGCGGTGTGCGGGTTCAGCCGGCAGATATTTTGTCATTGTGTCCACACGGACTCTCCTCTCGCTGGCTCGCTCGGCCGGGCTCTGTGTACACAGCGTGTTTTATTGACTCAAATGTGACGGGAAATGGAGCCCAACGTGACAGGAGAGCGGGCAGATGAGGAAACGAAGGTGAAACACCAAAAATATCAACTCCTCCCGGAAAAAGTGTCAGGGTGCCGATCACTGTGTCCAAAGACCAAATAGTTTCATTAAAGCCGAACTCCGGGACCAGCGGATATCGTCCTCGTACAAGAGCCACGAGGCTCCATGGAGAAATTGGAATGCTCAAAACCGGCTCCACATAACCGAGAGAATGTCTCATCTTGTAGAGCAGGGGAAAAAAACTCCAGGTCACCTATTATCGGATACAAAGGAGATGGCGAGACGGACAATTGTCTACTTTCAAAGACAGTTCTGGCCACCCGCCAGGTAGGTTCCACCGTTGGGTGGGATTAAAGTCCATAGGTACGGAATGTTCACACCAGGGTAGGGTCGAAAGAGGACCCGGGGCTTTACGGTCTCATGGCGGCACCATTCTAGTATTCTAGATAAGTGAGAAGCCATATAATAATTTTTAAAAAAAGTGTACATCTGGGTAGACTTGTGCGCCGTCAAAAAATTTGTTCAGTTTCGTAATATCCGTTATTTCGTATTTCGTAATTCATATCCGAAACTCAATCCGGATTCGTACGAAATACGTATTTTCGTTAGTTTCGGCACATTTTCGTAACTTTACGAACATTCGTTATGATGAAGTTAAAAAGCAAAAATGCCTTTGTTAATATTGGAGTCGATGTGGTAGTTGTTTTTTTATCCGAAATACGAATTCCGTTAACGGATTCCGTATCCGAATTTCGTATTTCGGACTTAAAAAAAAAATACCATCAACTCCAATATAAATGTACTTTTGCTTTTTAACTTCAATGTAACGAATGTTCGTAACGGAACGAAAATACGTCAACGGAATTTCGTATTTCCTGCCTGTGTATTGTAATGCAACTCTCAGCAGCAGCGGATTCGTATTTCGGATAAAAAAAAAATAGTCATGTTGTTCAACCTCATTTACAGGGGTAATATTAGTTCCTGTTTCAAAGAAATTCGGATTCGAAATTCGTTAACGGAATTTCGTATTTCGGATATAAATTCGGAAACTGCCGAATTTCAGGAAAATTCGTACGAATTTCGTAACGAAACGAATCGCACATGTCTACATCTGGGAGGGAAAGGCCACTCGAGGCTTTAGGCCTCCATAAATCTAATGTTTGAGCCTTGGAGCCCTATCGGACCAGATAAATCAGGTTATAATGGCCTGCACAGAGACAAAAAATGAGCGTGGAATAAAGATGGGAGAGCCTGGAATGAGTATAAGAAACGAGGTCAAGTATTTTAAGAACGTCGCACCTCCCTTTCCAAGAGAAGGGCAGACGCGACCAGTTCTGCAGGTCAGACAACCTTTTAAAGTAGCGGAGGAGAAATGAGAGATAAAAGTATCGGCTGAGTTGCAGGGAAGATGAATAGCAAGGAACTTGATAGATGTGGAGGACTATTAAAAAGGAAAATGCTGTTGGATCCTGGCAAGCATAACGGGAGGGATGGTAAGGTTCAGGGCTTCCGATTTGTGACCGTTGACGTGAAAATTTGACAATTCGCCGTACACATCAGGTTCAGGATTGAACCTGAAAGAATAGCAAATCATCCGCATATGCAGCAACTTTATACTGCTGCCTGCCTACGGCAATCTCTTGGATATCCGGATTGGCTCAAATGGTGCGAAGCAGAGGCTCAAGCGCCAAAATAAAAATGAGAGGAGAAAGGGTGCAGCCCTGCCGTGTGCCATTCGAAATCGAAAAGGGGGGCAGACAAAATGCCATCAAGACGGACCGTAGCCAAGGGAGTGGAATACAAGGCAAGAATCCAGGAAAGCATGTGTGGGCCAAGGCCAATATGCTCCAAGGTAAGTCGTATGAAGGACCAGTTGACCCTATCGAAGGCCTTCTACGCATCAGTGGATTAAATGAAGCTAGGCGAGGTCCAGTGGCGGAGTGCATTTTGGTGTCACCCCCTCTGACAAGTCGGGCACTCCGTCATGGAACGAGAGCCCAACAGCTGCAGGAGAGGGAGGAGGGGACCCGGCGGCATACCTTAGCCTGCCGGGTGAACATCGCCTTCTCTCTCTGCCAGCGTCCATCACCAAGATGGCCACTGGCAAGTATCAAAAAGCGATGATGTCACCCGGTATCTGCTCCGGGTGACACGAGGCCTCGGGACGCCCCTGGTGAGGTTTTCGACAGGGCCAAGTGTATGAGATTGAGGGCTCGCTTGGTGTTGTCCTGAGCTTCACTGGCGGGGAGAAAACCCACCTGGTCGGGGTGAACCAAAGATGGAATATGGGGTAGAAGTCGCATGGACAACACCTTGGCAAATAATTTAGTATCAATGTTAAGGCCTCATTCACACTGTAATCGGCCCGCGCGTACAGCTCCGTGCTGAGTGCAGGGCCGTACCAAGCAGCTCCCGAGAGCACAGGTGCTGCGTGTGATTAGTACGCAGCCCTGTCCTTCTCTATGGGACTACGCGGCCGTACGCTCACCTCAAGTGCAGGTCCATAGGGGTGCGCGTTTTCCGTCTCGAACGCAGACAGGATCCATCCTGTCAGCGTACGAGTAAGCTCACCCGCACGGACGTGGAGGGTGGGTGAGCGTAGGGGGGCGTACGGCCGCGTAGTCCCATAGAGAAGGACGGGGGCTGTAGCCTCCAAGAACGGTACTCAAAATTGCTTGGACCGTAGTGCAGAGCTGAGTAGGCAGCGTGGCCTCCGGAATACCGCATATGCAGAGATTGTTCCGTCGGTTGTGGTCCTCAAGAACTTCGAGCTGCAGTTGTAACATAGCACGGTGGGCAGACGAAGACAGGCAGCTCTGTTCCAGGGTGTAGACACGATCAGCAAGCCCCGAGCAAGAAGCAGAAACAGCTTTAAGTTCTGTAGCTAAGTCCCGCACCTCCTGTCTGACCTCATGAAGGGGTTGAAGAGCCGATTGCACCCTAGACACCAAGGCGGCAACGTCTTCCTTCGTAGGCAAGTACTTCATCAGTGTCCGACACTCCGTCGCAACATCTGTTGATTAGAGTCCAAATCATAAATGTGTGGAGATGGGATACTGGACCAAGGGTCACTGTAGGAAGGAGACGGCGATCTGGACCATGCGATGTAGTCGGATGAGAAGGCCCCAGTGCCATACTGAAAAGCCCGTGGTCCTAAAATCCAGTCCTGGAAGGAAGGGGTCTGTGCTGCCCAGGTTGATATCAATGCTGGGGGATGTTCATGGCACATTAGAACTGAAGACCTGGCTTGGAGGAGCTACAGAAGGTCTTCAACATCGCAGAACACATCCAGGTGAAAGCGACCAACAACTACTAGCTGACCCAAATACAATGCAGCCAGATAAGATGTGTTCATTCCACAGACAGTGTCTTGTAAACAAAATACTTTATTGTGTAGTGTCTGGACATGATTTAAATATAATGACACAGTTAATATATTTTACATCCCGATACGTAAACAATGATGATCATTCCATAAACAAGCCATTTACAAAATGTGGGCTTAGTGAACCGGTCACATGTGCAGTACATCAGGTCAGGCGGGTCAGCGAGGTATAGGAGTGCGGTTCTTCACAAGGAGGAGCCCTCTGGCAGCGAGACTGAGAAGTGCATAGAGACCGGAACATGATCCGACAGTCCGGCCAGTTGTGTGATGAACTGGAACTTGTTCACAGCCTTGGAAAAAAAAAGAGGATAAAATACGCGTTACATTGTGGAATACGCAAGTTACAAAATCATTATGAAATGACCCATTTTCATAAGAAAACCATAACAACATGTACAGCTAACAAATGACACACAGGGGTCGGTCATGTCATGTTTCATCACTTGTGGACCTTAGGCATACAAACCACTGACCAGAGGGAAAAAAAATGTTTAATCAAAAAAGTAAAAGTAAAAGAGAGGAGGATAAAAAGAATAGGACAACCCGATACAATCTATATAGGATAGGACAACACTATACAATCTATATAGGATAGGACAACACTATACAATCTATATAGGATAGGACAACCTTATACAATCTATATAGGATAGGACAACACTATACAATCTATATATGATAGGACAACCCGATACAATCTATATAGGATAGGACAACCCGATACAATCTATATAGGATAGGACAACCTGATACAATCTATATAGGATAGGACAACCTTATACAATCTATATAGGATAGGACAACCCGATACAATCTATATAGGATAGGACAACCATATACAATCTATATAGGATAGGACAACCCGATACAATCTATATAGGATAGGACAACCCGATACAATCTATATAGGATAGGACAACCTGATACAATCTATATAGGATAGGACAACCTTATACAATCTATATAGGATAGGACAACCCGATACAATCTATATAGGATAGGACAACCATATACAATCTATATAGGATAGGACAACACTATACAATCTATACAAGATAGGACAACCCTATATAGGATAGGACAACCGTATACAAGCTCCATAGGATAGGACAACCCTATACAATCTCCATAGGATAGGACAACCCTATACAATCTATATAGGATAGGACAACCCGATACAATCTATACAGGATAGGACAACCCGATACAATCTATATAGGACATGACAACCCGATACAATCTATATAGGACATGACAACCCTATACAATCTATATAGGACATGACAACCCGATACAATCCATATAGGATAGGACAACCCGATACAATCCATATAGGATAGGACAACCCTTTACAATCTGCAAATTGCAACCCTATATAATCTCCATAGGAGAGGACAGATTTTTACAATCTCCGAATCATGGGGCAACGCTAAACAATCTCCATAGGATAGAACAACCCTATGGAATCACCATAACATAGGATAACCCTATACAATCCACATACTGTAGGACAGGGCAGCCCTACGTAATTTTCATAGGATACGCCTATACAATCTGCAATGAGCAACCCTATATAATCTTCATAGAAGAGGACAAACCGGGAACAATCTCTAGAAAACTTTATAGGATAGTGCAGCCCTACACAATCTCTAGAATAGCTCCATACATATAGACCTAGACATGCACACTTTTTATAAGATAGCACAGCTCTATACAATCTCAGGGCACGTCATACATGCGTCTTACCAGAGAAAGTAGAGAATCGGATTCCCTGTACAGGATATAGTCTATCCTCCGCCCCGTCCAGTGAGCACCAGTCCCATCGATGCCTTCAGGAAGAGGCGGTGCCACGTACAACTTCCGTTCCGCCTCTGAATCCAGAGTCCTGCAACAGAACACCGAGTGAGATAACAGGATAAGCATGACACCTGAAATATGCCATTGGCTTCCAATGAGTCCCATCTCACCTCTTTAGACTGGCCGGGGTGTTGACTGCCTCGTGGTAGAGAGAGTCCGCTCTGAGGAGGGTGCCTGAGACAAACAAGAGTCAGTGTTTATATGTTTGCCTCCAGAGGACACCAGGAGACCCAATGTAAACCTCTGAACGCCAAATCACCGCCACTCCAATGTGCCCTTCACCCACCTGGCAGCATAAAATCCCCCAAATTCAGCTGTTGTCAGTTTCTTCCATGTTTTCCAATTTAAAAATAACACCTCTCCTCACAAAATGGCCTAGAACCCTGGTTCTCAACTGGTGGGTCGTGACCCAAAAGTGGGTCGCGACCACGTGTTCAGTGGGTCGCCGCATGCCTTCCACTTTTCTTGGCGAGAGGCTTCTCAGCCTCCTTCTAGTGCAGCAATATCAGTTCTCGCACTGAGCAGCCATTCAGAATATGCTGCCCAGCACTGAGTGTCCGCTTGAGGTGGGGTGGGCTGGAGCTATGGCTGCCAGGGAGCTCCATCCATACATGCATTGCTTGCAGCTCCCTCGCATGTCCTGTAGCGGTGCCTGGACCGGAGTGACATCACATTCTGGCTCCCGGCACCGCTACAGGGTGCGCATGGGAACTGTACAAGCAATGCACATATGGATGGAGCTCCATTACAGCACAGCAGCCCGCACTGTCGTGTGTTCCATTGCAGTGCAACGTGGGTCGCGACTTAATGACAGACGACAAATGTGGGTCTTGAGGTTAGACAGGTTGAGAACCCCTGGTCTAGAAGAAGTTTAGATCCCCTTCTAAAATGAAGATATGCTGAATATAAAGAGAGACAGCTGGCAGATAACGGCCATCCTCAAATAGACTTTGCCTGCAGGCTGCCAGCAGCGTTTACTGTACCTGATCCAATCCCAAATACTGCCCATCCCCCCTTTATTCTGCAGGGGGTACATCAGATATGTTCCCACATTGTACTAGCTGGTAGAAGTTGAGCACATTCAACTAGACTTGTTCCTTAATATTGAAGACATTTCATAGCTTCTCCATGACACTTCTTCAGTTCAGGAACATACACTAACATTTATATCCACACAGGTAGCACAGACATCTCAATCCAATCACCATGACCTTGGATTAAAATGGCTGAAGTTATGAATGATCTGCTTTCTGATGCTAAAGGGGGATTTTACTGGGCTTCAGAGAGGCCATCTTCATCAAACTGGGACAACCATCCCTGAACAGGAACGAAGGCCTTTGACATCATCTGTCTTCCACATATAATGCCCCTTAAACATGTACAAGAAGCTACAAATCATCTTCAGCGTTGCAGAACAAGTCCAGTTGAATGTGACCAACTACTACTCAATGAGGACCTTCACAGACACATTGTGATACTTCATTGGCTGGAAGGGAAACATGTCCGCCGTCTCTGACCATCTCCTGTAATATAGCTACCTCCTCATGTATCACTGGCCCCTCCCTTTTAGAGTGTAAGTCCTCAGGGGCAGGGCCCTCCTTACCATCTTGTCTTGTGATTGTAATGTCTTCCTTATATTGTAAAGCGCTGCGCAAACTGTTGGCGCTCTATAAATCCTGTACAATAATAATAATAATAATAAGTCCAGTCTTCTGTAGCATTACATATACTGAACATTATATGCGGCCCTCTGGTGATGTCAGGGGCATCAGTTGTTGGCGCCTATATCTTTTAAGTTGGCAACCATTGACAATCCGTCCAACACCAGTACCTAAAATGCCTTACAAGAGGGTGCACAGCCAGCGGAGCTGCCATGATAAACTTGTAGAAAAAAAGGCCAGCACTCCGTAAAAGAGAAGCAAAAAACAAACCTTTAAGTTATTTAATCTTTTGGGTCACAGGAGTTTATCCTAATGTCAATTGTAATGTAAAGGGGTCAATAGTATCAAAACCCTGAGTGACACAGAATGCAGGGGTCAGGGGTAAGTAATCCACAGAGTGCAGGGGTCAGGGGTAAGTAATCCACAGAGTGCAGGGGTCAGGGGTAAGTAATCCACAGAGTGCAGGGGTCAGCAATCCACAGAGTGCAGGGGTCAGTAGTACCCAAGAGTGCAGATGACAGGAGAAAATGAGAGAGTACAGGGGTCAGGAGTAAGTAACAGAGCGCAGGGGTCAGCAATAAGTATCCCACAGAGTGCAGGTGTCAGTATTATGTATCATATAGTGCAGAAGAAAGGAGTAATACAGAGTTCAGGGGTCAATAGTATGTAAAGCAAAGTTCAGAGGTCAGGAGTATGTAAAACAGTGCAGATGTCAGGAGTAAAAAACACATAACTCTCCCACACAAGCAGAAATCCCCCCCCGCCCCTCAGCAACAATTGTGCACAGCAAAAATTCCCCCTTCCTTCTGTAAAAGTCACCTACCATACCTCAGATGCAGCAGAGTGAGGGAAGTCCTCCCAGGTCTCCCCTCGGCTGTGTCTTATGACCAGTCAGAGCCCAGGAGCAGCCTAGGACTCCCCACAGCTCTTGGACGCCGACTGCCACTCTGATCCGAGGTCTGAGAGGTGGCACAGCAAGGTCACAATCTACCCATCACATTGCCTTGATAGATAAGATGGGGTACCAACCACCTGAGTAGACCATCACTCACCAACTGTTCCCAATCTGTCCTGGCCGGCAGTGTCTCTACATGCATCCTTATACACAGAGAACAGCTGATGTTTTTGCTCCATGCAGTCATCTGAAACAGGAGACACACTGGCTGTAAACTCACACGAAATCCGAGTGGCAATATTTAGGTTCTAAAAACAGTAAGTTGCAAACGTAAATGGGAATTATGTATTTCGGAGGTGACTGATGCCGAGACGCCCAGACCAAATTTTAGAATAGTGTCAGGGGCGATCGTGAGCAGCCAAGCAAGATGGCCGCAGCCTGAGCTAGCTCCGCGCCACGAGCCACCCGAGAGCAATCATCTGCAATCATTAGCACTCTTTCCATCTCAGCCTTGCATCTGCCCTGCTCCTCTTCCCCTTGGCATCATTTTTCGGCACCATGGCTTATTCTAAAGGAGGGGAGAAGACCGGGAGAACTCCTATGATACCACTCAGACCTTGACTTGGGACACTGTCCGCCCTTTGTGATGCCCATGGGGAGGGGGCAGAGTGCCCAACACCCTAACCCAGATATACCTCGGCAAACTGCTGTGTGGTTTTTTTTTCTAGTGTGAGCCACTCCACCAAATCTCTTCTCTTTCACTTTTCTCTGACTCCACCTTGTATCTTTCTCTTTTCGATAACTCTTTGCCTAGCCTTACAATTCCTCTGGCCCTGTTGCCCTCCCCCCCCCTCCCCCCTTTATTTTCCTGCTACTTGCCGTGATATTACCATTGTCTCTGTACATATTCTGTGCAATGCATTGCCTATACTTGAGGGCCTCATTTATCTCTCTATGCATGTTACTTACGTTTACCATACGTATTGTTGGCCTCATTACTAAAGCTTAATAATATATATTTTATAAACTATATAGAGGATCCCATCTTACTTGGCTTTGGATGCTTGTATCACTATGGCTATGATAAATCCCTCAGCAACCCCTGATTGTATAATAATGCTTCACAACTCTCATTGAAGCTCAGTGAAATCTCACTTGTATGTCCTTGAGTAATGTCACTGTTCTTTGCCTTGGCTTGCATGCAATGTTTCTAACTTTGACAATTTTCATTCTTATTGGTGACAATCTTTTACGTCTTTGTTATTTCCTTCGAAAATAATGATAAAAATATAGAAACTAAATAATGTAATGTAATATACACAAACAGTAGAAAGGCATCATGGCACACTCACAAACCAGCATGTAAAACAACTTGTCTCACCACTAAGGATAATAACAGGGTTGGATACACATGTAATATACACACACACACACACACACACACACACACACACACACACGGGGCGAACAGCCCCGCAAATTCTCTATAAATCAACCCCAATGAATAATCATTTACCCGTGGAACAATTGTCAAAGTTCAAGTCTCCACAAAGGATGTCAAAGGCAACCAGATCTCCATCTTCACAGTATTGTGACTGGAAGTCCAAAACCCAGCGCAGGAGCAAAGACATCTGATCGCAGCGGATGACCGCATCACCTAAATACAAAAAGAGACATTTTTTTTAGCATTCCATTTTTATTAGGTTTTAATGAAGAAAACCCAATAACGATCACAAAAGTCAGAGCAAAATGGGTCATAAGAAGCAAATTACATAGTATAAAGATTTCTTGGTAAGAAGAACACAGTCACATAAATAACACAGACGGAGCACGATTGAAATTTACATAGACAAATAAATCTTCCACAGATGAGTTGAGCGAATAGACATTAGCAAAAGTTGCATCCTGAAGCATGCCAAAGCATCACCCAACTGGGAAAAAGTGAGCAAAGAAAAAAGGGGGGGGGGGGGAGGAAGGGAAGAGGGAGAAAAAGGAAGGGAGGAGAAGAAAAGGAGGGGACCAGAGGCAAGGCACAAAACCAAGGACAGGGAAGGAACAGGAAACAGAACTAAATCCAGTATCGACAATACAAGGTCCGACTCAGCCTTCCATCTACTGCCCGCAGCCACTGACCCACCGTACGCTGGGGCATCCATTTTCCATCCAACAACAATCTCTCCTCTAGCATAAAAGGCCTCATGAAAGAGAAGAAGCTTATTAGCCTGGGTAGTGAGTATGCAGTCCACAAATCCCGATAAGAAAATCAGGGGGTCTGCCTCAAGTTGTAGCCCGGTGGCACAATTGATAATAGAGACCACCGAAGTCTAATACGGCTGTAGCAATCGGCAGGACCACACCACACGCAAAAAAGTGCTCATCTCCACCTTGCATCTATGGCATCCGCTGAGTGGTAAATGGCTGCCAGTCAGGAAGGAGTATAAAACGCCCTATGTCGGAATTTCAACTGAAGAAACCCAGCTCTAGGGGATACAACAGTCGTCACAGTCCTCCCAATCATCATCCATCAGTGAGTGAAGATCAGACCGCCATTTCCTAAACAAGCGAGGTGCTGTGAGACTGACAGAAATAAAGTGAGGAAAGAGTTTCATGAAACCTATGCTCCATCAAAAAACGATCAATACGATCAGATTTAACAGCCAACTGCAAGTATCTGAAAAACATAGAATCGGGCCATACAATGACTGGAGTCTGTCAAAGTCCAACAACACCCCCCACCCCACCCTATAATATGCTTGACAACCTTGATTCCATAGTGTGCCCAAGCCTGGGGATGAGGGAGAAAAATGATACGCAGAAGCGTCCACCTTTATAGAAAACTTGGACCACAGTTCCCCCACACTCCATAACATCAAAAGGTGAGCAAACAAGGATACTGTGTTCCAGGTGTGATGAAGCAGCAGAGTCTCCTTGCAAAATGAAATATCAAAAAAGGGACTGGCAACCACCTCCAACATGAATTCCAAAAGTGATCCATTAGCAACGAGCAGTATACAAAGAGGGGAACGGAGTCTACGAAAGGGCCAAACGTAAATCCAGAGGAACTGAAACAGCGGAGAAAGAAAAAGGCTCAAAATAACAGGTGAGATGAAGAAAGGGAATATCTGCAAATGGCAATGTCATATCTACAGGAAATGCAATGTCACAAAGAGGAATTTGATTGGTGGGGTGATCAATACATGCAGCAACGTCTGATTACAACGTATGCCAGAGCTCTTGAACGCAGAGCTGTAGCTAGCTCTTTTTGCGCCCGAGGCAAGAACACAAAATTGTGCCCCCCAACAGACCTGTGCAGTATGTGACATCATGCGCCCCGCCACCAGGATGGTGGAGCGCATGCGCAGAATGCGTTGGTGGCCAAATCCAAAATAGCATAAAAATTTGTTTCGTTTGACGAAACTAATGAAAACATTTTTAGCTTCCATTCATTTTGTCCAAAACATTTTTAGTCTTTGCACATGTCTAGCAGAGTGTGTGTTTATTTTTTTTCACTGTTGGGGGGGCTTCAGGGAAATATTGGGGGTCTAAATAGACCCCTGACATTTCCCTTTTGAAATAGAAAAAGAAATTGGAGGACACAGAGTCCTCTGCCCATACAGGTGGAGGAGAGCAGCAGGGATCCGAGTAGAAGCTGGAGCCTGTGCCGCTCCTCATCTTCCTGCCGAACCGCGGCTGTGTTGGCCACCTGGTTCCCCTGTTGCCAATGGTGCCCTGTGCTCGCCATGGCAACAGGGGCGAGGGGGCCCAGCCAGGCCAGGTCCTGGCTGCGCCCCCTCTCAGCTGCGCCTGAGGCGAGTGCCTCACTCGCCCCATGGTAGCTACAGCCCTGCTTGAACGGGCCATTGTCAAACAGACTTCCTGTGGCTGACTGACCTCCCATTTGATGGTGTTTGCATAGTTCAGGGGTGGACACCACTAAGCAGGGCCAGCTGTGGGACCCTAATGATCATTTTGGCTGTCTGTAAGGTTGGCATTCTAGTAACCACTGCAGTAGGGGCATTCTGCCCAATGACCACCAATGTAAGGGGTGTTTTCCCCACTGACCCCTAATGAATTGGTTTAAGCAGGAGTTCCCTGAAGATCATTTCAAGGGCTCCTCTTGGGAAAAATAGGCTGAGAAAGGCTGCCCTATACAGACCCAGTCACTTATCCCATTCATGAAAATGAGGGGTTGAAGGGTGCATGCTCGCCCGGGGAGGGTTTAGGCCTATGCATCAACACCAGGCCCAGCTCTGGCCACCATCCTGCCCAGCTCCTGGCAACCAGAGAGATGTTTATGGCCCTTCTCCCCACCTGGCACTTAGCAACCTGGGATGTTCTGTCTGGAAAGGGGGCACTACAAACAATGTGCAGAAGAATGGCCATGCCACTCTGCCTGCCACCCTCCCATTTCACCCAAAGAGATGCCGTCTGAGGCAACAACCTCAGGTCGCTTCATTACAGCTATGGCCCTGGATTAAAACAACATACTGCTAAATTTGACTTTGGTCTCTGACTAGGTTACTTTGCTTAGGTTTCCTATTTGAAAAGTGAAGTCTCATAGATAAGTATAAGATCCTGTCAGCATGATCATGTTCAAATATAACCAACCCCACTTCCAGTATGTAGACTCATGTAATGTCAACTCTGTATGCCTTCCCCCAAAAGGCCCTCCCGTCTGTTTTATACTTACCTTCGTTCTTCAGGCCGGTCATGTGACACGCCGTATCCTCTCCTTCTGATGGTGGGCATTCCTGCATGCTGCAGAGCGATGTTGATGTAACGAGGTCAGCCCCGCTCTCTGTATCATTGGAGGCCGGCCTCGTCACATCCCCTAAGGGGTGGACCCGGTACACCAAACACTCATAGCGCCTCCTCAGTCTCCCAAATTGAGCGACGTTGGGTGTCCTAAAATCCAAAAGACTGAGGACATCTTGTGATGAAAAAGAAGTACTGTGGAAGCTGCTGCTTTATTTCTAACACCCCCTAGAGATCCATTTTAACTCAAAATACATTTTTGGATTTACCGAAAAATATTTTTCTTGAAGTTCATTGAAGGACACAGGACGTCAGTAATTCTTAAACGGCTGGGTTATACTGCCACCAACCTCTTGTAGGCAGCAGTATAACCCGGATATTGTAGAACCACCGAATTCCTGTGTCCCTCAAACGATACAAAAAAAAAAAAAGCGTTAACCTGATTTGGGCTTTAATAGGAGAAAACACAAAAGTCCCCCCCCCAGCCTCAAATTATATCAGTGTATATTTAGTCACCATCCCCCGTTATGGAACCGACTTACTCTCTGGTGCATGTAAATGCGTGCAATTTATATATCCCACAATTCTTTGCTTCTGCTTCGTCATTCCAACGTGAACCTGTATAGAAAAATGGATTCAGAAACTGGAGATTAGAAGCGAACGTTCCCTCAGGCAGAAGATATAACACGTCAGACTCACTGAGGCTCTTCTGTGTTCTGCGTGTTAAAGTGACATTAAACCCTCAGAGTTTGTAACATAAACCAATACTGTAATGTGCCCCTTACTGTAATCCATGGCTGTTTCCCTTCTCTTTGCTGCTCTTCCTTTTAAATCCTCATGTCTTCTCATGTTGGGGGAGAACTTCCCTTTGCAGCTGAGTGCCTCTTCCTGTAGTGCTGGCTCAGGTTGTGAACCTGTACACAGACCGTGTATCCATTCCAGAGACAAGGCAGTCTGCTGCAAAACAGAAGTTCTCCCCCAGCATGAGAAGACATGAGGATTTAAAAGGAAGAGCAGCAAAGAGAAGGGAAACAACCATGGATTACAGTAAGGAGCACATCACAATATTGGTTTATGTTAAAAAATCTGAAGGTTTAATGTCACTTTAAGGAGAGAAGTCTCACCAGAAACATTTTCACTGCGTCCCGTTTAGATAGCTGCTGATAGAGCTAGTGTGGTCAGCCGTGCCCCCCTCCCCCCCACCGCCGTCCGACCATGCTGCTCAGGAGATAAAGAGCTCATTCTGTGTGATTG